CAAACATTCACATACATACATAAAAACACATACATACAAACAAACACAAGCGCACAGACAGACAAGTCCTACACATTAAAACTGCTTCGTTTTCATCTTCAAGTTTCCAGTTTTATAATTTTTTCATATAATTTGGAGAACTAAGGAACAAAACTAATTGGCCTATAATTTAAAATTTCTGATTTTGAACCAGATTTGTGAAAGCCTCAAAAACAACCATATGATAACTAACTACCTCAACAACAACAACAACGCAAAGGAAAACAGCTTCACTAAAGAAGCCAACAACAACAACCTTACACACTACAATGCAAACCAACAACAACCTTTTCAGCAGCAGCAGCAACAACAACAACAACATATGAACAACCACACCATAAAAGAAAACCAACATCACTTACAAAGTGAACAACGCGTCCTTTCCAACAATAAGCACCATCACCATAGTCAGCTTTCGAAATCAGAAAGACCTCAGAACTTGCACTGGAGACAGAGCAGACGAACCAACAATCCATTCAAAAGCAGACCACGGCATCAACTCATCCACCATTCTTCACATCAATCCAAGCCAACCGACAACAACATCAACAACAACATCAACTGCAACAACAACAACATCAACAGCAACATCAACAGCAACAACAACATCAACATCAACAACAACAACAACAACAACATCAACAAACAACCAACCAGCAGTTTCGCAACAAAACAAACATCTAATGGAGAATTTGTGATGGATATGATGACTAATGAGTGTGGGGGCTTGCCCGAGGCAAATGCACAAAGTGAGAAATTTATGTCTTACGTCATCGTTATATACGTCATCTCTTACGTCATCCTCACATCACGTGACGTCATCACTTACTTCATCCTCGCATCATGTGACGTCATCACATACTCGCATCACGTGACGTCGTTCCTTACATTTGGTCTTCAAGTTATGTCACCGAATTAAAAATTTGGGTGGCATAACTCGATATAACTTAAATTCGCACATGGTGGAATAAATTTAACCCTATTTGACGTTCATTGAATGCAAACGCGGCCACACATTGTACACACATTCGCATGTATACAACACTGCATCTACCATAACCTTGCTTAGAAATTGTATATGAAATATCGTGCATGCATATGTCTTTGTGGTCATTGTGTATCCACAATGACCACAAATGTATCCAACGCTCGCTCCGACACAACACATCAATCAACCTAAAGCTATGGCATAAAGATTCACTTAACTGACCATAGGAAAAGCAGGAAATGAATGTACAATAAGATGAATGAATGAAGCATGTCAACATGAAAGTTGTCACAAACATTTTGCAATTTGAAACTCGAAGCGGTGAAATGTAACCGAAAAAAATTTAACGATCACAATATCCAACCACATGGCGACAGACTGGCAACAATCACATCAACACTAACTAAACGGCACTGTTGCAAGCAGCGATGCATTACTATGAAAACATAAATAAAAAAACTGTTACACCATGACAATGATAGTAAATAACATGGCATCGTCATTATGATTTGAACGAAACAACATCAGCACAGCGTCATTACAATATCAACGACAACATCACATTAATATCACATCAACAACAACAACATCAACAACAACATCAACATCAACAACAACAACATCAACAACAACATCAACATCAACAACAAAAACAACAACATCGACAACAACATCAACAACAACAACATCAAAAACAACAACATCAACAACATCACTATGGCTTTTAAACAG